GGCACACAGCCATACTTATTCCTTCTTGCATTATCTGTGGCTGCTTTCCTATTACAAAGGTAGAGATAAGTAGTTGCCATTTGCAAAGTCTAAAATATTTACACTCTGGTCTTTTACAGAAGTTTGCATATCCTCCTCCAGGCAATGCATCAGTTTTCCACTGAAGCACAAATGTTTCCTTACAATCAGAGCGTTCAAGGTCATTTGGTTCAGGGGTTCCCAGATTTTGAAATCTCACAGGTCCGTAAAATTTCAAAAAAAATTTGAGGGATGGTCAGAGGGTCTCCAATTTTACTTTTATAAAATATCAGCTGCGGGGCACACACCGAGGTCCAGCTATGATGGAGCCCGACTTGCTTTAAATAATACATTTTTTTCCTGATTTTTAAAATAAAAATGTGGTCAGTACAGAAAACTTGAGAAAAAGTGGGAAGAACAAAATTCATCTCTACCCAGAGAGATATAAAGGTTTACTGACACACATGGGCAACAAAAGCACTTTCCAATCTAAAAATCGTAAAGGGAGAAAACCAAGCATCTCTCCCCAAACCAAAATGGAGCCTGGCACACGCAGGTAGCGGTATGTATTGAACAAATAACTAAACCTAAATAACTGCAATTATTTATCCTAGATGATCCAAGAAAACTCAGTAAGTCTTTGAAAAATTTTTTGATAATCAAAATGGCTAATATGAGGGCGCCTGGGTGGCTCAGTCGTTAAGCGTCTGCCTTCGGCTCAGGTCATTGTCTCAGGGTCCTGGGATTGAGCCCCGCATCGGGCTCCCCGCTCCGCGGGAAGCCTGCTTCTCCCTCTCCCACTCCTGCTGCTTGTGTTCCCTCTCTCGCTGTCAAATAAATAAAATCTTAAAAAAAAAAAATGGCTAATATGATAAGTCTTCCTGGCATCCCCCTTCTTGCATTTATTTTTTTTCCTTGTGTCATTTTTTTTTTTAAACTCTTAAGATTTAAAACTGCCCAGGACAACTCTTTAAGAAGCAAGGATTATGTATTTTCACTTGTTTTCATGTCCAAACAATTTACATAAATCAAGTTTTATTATTAAAATGCCCTAATGATACATACAATATAATAACCTTTAAAAATTGATCAGGTAGACTCTCATGATTTCAAGACGTGTAATTTCTAAGAAGCCAATTAATTGAATTTTCACTTCCATGCCTGGTCACCTAAATAAAAAACATCTTAAACCTGGTATTGAAAATAAACAATTGAGAGTATTTTTTAACTCTTTGTGGCGTGCAATCTTTTTTTTTTTTAAAGATTTTATTTATTTATTTGAGAGAGAGAGAGAATGAGAGACAGAGAGCACGAGAGGGAAGAGGATCAGAGGGAGAAGCAGACCCTCCACCGAGCAGGGAGCCCGACGCGGGACTTGATCCCGGAACTCCAGGATCATGACCTGAGCTGAAGGCAGTCGCTCAACCAGCTGAGCCACCCAGGCGCCCTGTGGTATGCAATCTTAAACTCAAGAATTCATCACTGTTTTCTTTGAAAACCTCATGCATACCTTCTGCTTTGATGGTACCTCTATGTCCCTTCCTGCAACTTATCCATCTCCTTTAAACCGATCTCCTCCTGTAGGAAACAAACATTCCAGATAACCTGACAAACTGGAAGAATAAAGATGACTTCACTCTGGTTCTTCTTTGTCTGAATACCTCACTCATATATGTGTTTGTTTCCCCTGATGTTTCATTATGTTTATGAAACTTCTCTATAAAAACATAAGCTCTTGTAATGTATGGGGATTAACATAAGAATAAAAAAAAAAAAAGAAAAAAAAACATAAGCTCAATTTCACTTTTGGAAAATAAGCAAGCATCATCCCCTTTCAAAAATCACTTTCTTCTTTTGGTGAAACATCTGGTTTCGTCTTATTTTTTACTTAAATCCCACCCACGACCTGCGCAGATGGCTCTACGTTCACTTATTTCTCTCCATCTCCAATATTTAATCTCCCAGATCAGCTCTGCCTCTCACCTGCCCCACCCTTTAGCCAGAAGCCTCCTTCACTCTGAAGTGGCCCAGGTGGGTCCTGTACCTAGCATGTGATGAGGATGGGGCCTGGGATGGACTCCAATGTCTCCATTTATTCTAATTAGTTTTTTCTTTCATTGTGCATAAAAACTTTCCTTTTAAACTGCTCCCTGGGACGCAGCTCTCTTCCATCTCTCACCTCCTTTGGACCTTTTAATTAAGGTGGCCAAGTTTAGCTCTTACTAGTGTGTTCACTGACCTAGAATCATTTGACCTGCTGCTACTTACTGACTATAGTCTTCAATCTATTATGCCCCTACAGTATGCAAGTCATGTGCTATGTGCTTCATATACATTATTTCTAGTCTTTGCTACACCCCTCCCTGAAAAGCTGTGTGACCTTGGACAAGCTACAGAACATCTCTGAGCTTCAGTTTCTCATTTGTTTAAGATTTGTTTATTTATTTCAGAGAGAGAGGGAGTGGGGGAGGAGGGCAGAGGGAGAGGGAGAGAGAGAATCCCAAGCCGACTCCCCACTGACCACAGAGCCTGATGCTGGGCCTGATCCCATGATCCTGAGATCATGACCTGAGCTGAAATCAAAAGTCATACGCTCAACTGACTGAGCCACCAAGGTGCCCCAGTTTCTCATTTAAAATGTGAAAAATAGCAATGACAGGAGTCTGCATTCTACCCTACACCATATAGCCTCTCTTAGACAGTTGTCTTATTTCTCAATGGTATCCCCCAAATGTCCAGGATAGGGCTCAATGTGTAACTTAGCTCAACACATATTTACTTGGTGATTGTTTGAATATAGTTATCTTACTCAATTACTTTCCTGAGTTAGTTTTAAGAAATGAAACACAGATTTGTATTAAAGTTTATCAAAAGCAATAGACATTCACATTAAGGAACCAATGCAATAAGACATTACTTTTAAATGTCTAATTATAAAGCTAAATACTAAGACCTCTACTCTTGGAATGCTCTGGTTAGTTGGATTTCTGTTAACTGTGAATTTGTTTTTTGTTAAAATAGACTTGTTACGAATTTCATCAAATTTTAATCTACTTTCTTGCCTTAGGAAAAAGAATCTGCTGGACACACCTGTATGTGCTTTGATGACCCAGGACTCTGCAGTATCTCCAGGGCAGTATTTGGAGCATCAAGAGCTTGCTGAGGATAGAGAATGAGCAGGAAGGTGAGTAGCAGGTGTGCTAACCCAGGACTCAAGTCTGACAGGATTTCTTACTTCTTACTTACTGTGCAGGATATGGCCAATGCTGTCTTGTAGTTGAGGATTACTGTTGGCTGGGTTCCAGTTAACCAAATATTTTTTGACGAGTATTTTTGCAACTCTTGGCTCCTGTACTCAAGAGATAAAACTTTTAAAATGATTTCAGCCAGGTTTGTCACCGCTGGCACAAGTGAGATTTCCTTATGCACACATATATCTTTTTTTATCCTTTCTTAAGATTTCATTTATTATTTTTTTTCATAAGCTCTATGCCCAACATGGGGCTTGAACTCACGACCCCAGATCGAGGGTCACATGCTCTACCAGCTGAGCCAGCCAGGTGCCCCCCCTTTTTTCTTTATAAGTATAATCATCTCAGATTTATAATTGTGTCCAGAATATTTTTTTACACCCTTAGAATTTTCACTTTGGCTGTGCTCTTGAGAAGTGCTAATTCTACAGTAAAGTGCTGGCTGGGCAGCCACTTGAACTGAGGGCTACCATTTTTTCAAATCAGCTGCCAAGGCCATATTTCTCCTTCAGGTCTTGAAATAGCCAAGAGTCTACTTCACAAGATATGTGGGAAGAACTAAAGTGTACAAGGACAGGAAAGTCTACAAGATGAATATAGATGATGTTCAGTTTCATATATACTGCAATTGCCAAAATTACATGTTTTTTGGGTATTTGAAAAGTTGCTGTCAAATGTATAATTGAAACTTTGAGCAGCCAAGACAGGAACCCATACATAACAGCGTTTCAGCCTACATGGCTCTGGTTCTCAAACGTGCCACACATCAGAAGTACCTGGGGAGGGCGCCTGGGTGGCTCAGATGGTTAAGCGTCTGCCTTCGGCTCAGGTCATGATCCCAGGGTCCTGGGATCAAGTCCCGCATCGGGCTCCCTGCTTCTTGGGAGCCTGCTTCTCCCTCTGCCTCTCTCTCTCTCTGTCTCTCATGAATAAATAAATAAAATCTTAAAAAAAAAAAAAGAAGTACCTGGGGAGCTTCTGAAAATCTAGATGCCCAGGCTGCCTCCCCCAGATCAATTAAAATATGGGGGTAGGAGTCAGATATTGATATTTTTAAAAGATCCCTAGGTGATTCTAAAGTTCAGCAAAGTTTGGGAACCAATGGCATGTGGAAAAATACATGTAAGCAATTTGTAGCATGTTACCTAAAGGACTCAACTTACAGAATACCTTAATTCACAGATCTCATGAATGTTTCCATTTAAAATACTTCAACATTATAATGGTAAAATATTTCAAAAATATGAAAAAGAGACTCTCGGTAAATTAAAAATTATTCTGTAATTTAAAATATTGCCAATATATTACAATCCACTCCTTTTTAGGGGGAGAATATCAGGAACATTTATTTCCAGCTTTCAAATCCTTTTTATAAGTATAGAAGCAGAAGAAATACTGAAAGATGAAGGGAAGAAAGGATATAAACAAAGAAAAACTAAAATGATTATTTACCAAGAATTGCAAATGCTCATTTTCTGAGTATACCACAACGTTCCATTCTCTATTCCTAGGACTTGGTGTAATTTTCAGGGACATGATGGTGGAGGGCTCATGCTTTTAGTTTATCAAAATAAACCTGAGTGTTCCTTTTCCCAGTCCTCAGTGAAAACTGAGACTTTACTCATCTTTTTGAAAAAAGAGAGAAAGAAGAAAGAAGTGGGGGGAAAGAGAGAGAGAGAAAGAAGGAAGGAAAGAAGGAGAGGAGAGGAAAGGAGAGGAGAAGAGGAAGGGAAGGAGAGAGGGGAGAGAAGGGGAGGGGAGAGGGGAGAAAAATGTGTCCTAGTGGTGAGCTCACCTGTCCTTTGAACTGTTCTATGGTTGAAATGCCCCTCCTGATTGATCAGTCCTCATTCAACAGATTTTCATGTGTTAGGAACGTTCGAGGATTATGTCAGCTGAGATTCCTGCTGCCTATCTGGTGGAGAGAACAACTTATAATAACAAACACACACCAGACTTGGATGAATTACCATCCCCACAATCTGCAGGCCTGTTGGGGTCGTTCAATTCTTCAAACAGTCCCGTTTCTATAATCTCTTCCTGCCATGCTATAGGGACAGCACCTGTTGCAAATCTTTGGAAGAACATCTTATCTTTATCATCAAATTCAATTCCCCGAACCTCAGAGAAATCTTCAATTTCAGCGATGTCTTTGGCATAAACCACTGAAGGGTCTGGCACAAATGGGGGCTCAATTAGGCCAGCTTCCAGGCGAGCAAAATTGATGGTTTTGAAGAAAGGGTGTTGCCTGGGATCATCAGACTTTTCTCTGTGAAGAAAGGAGATGGACAGCCTGAGACACAGTAACAAACCAAAACAGGAAATGTTCTAACAATACGAAGTGTCTAGCATTCTTTTCCTGTAATACGATTTCATTTTAATTGCAAAGACAATATAACGGTGTAAAGAATACTTTGGAAAAATAATAACTTTAAATTTCAGCCACAATTTAAAAAAATCACCCGCAATTCCATCTTATGCAGACAGTAGCATTTTCATTGTTTGCAGATAACCTTCACATGTAGATCTAATTTTTAGAGTCAAGCAGTTGACATGACTTTTATTCTTTTTTTTTTTAAGATTATTTATTTATTTATTTATTTGAGAGAGAGAATGAGACAGAGAGAGAGAGAGCATGAGAGGGGGGAGGATCAGAGGGAGAAGCAGACTCCCTGCTGAGCAGGGAGCCTGATGCGGGACTCGATCCTGGGACTCCAGGATCATGACCTGAGCCAAAGGCAGTCGTTTAACCAACTGAGCCACCCAGGCACCCGACATGACTTTTATTCTTAGTGTTTTGTGGAAATACAAGCAAAATTCAGTGGGGCCAGAACCTGCTTCCCTGCAACTTCCAGCCATTGCATTTTGCTCTACCCTTCAGGGTCACATAGAACAAGGGAAGCATGTCTATCCACACACAGCCCCACTCACATCCTAAAAAACAGCACCCATATTGCCTCAGTCTTCATATGACATGATTTTTAGGAGCTCCACCTACCTCCCCCAATTGCCACAATACTTTTAAAGACTTTAAAAAAATCCATTAGTAATTTTTAGTAGCATGAATGAGCATACATTCAATGCTCAAGACTATGGTTATTGGTTACCAAGCCCTCTTTCCTTGTGCTAGAAATTATGCCAGTATTTGCCTTAGAATAAGGGGGGGAAAATGTATGTTCCCAATTGTGTAACTTCTTGTATTAGTTATCTATTGCTGTGTAACAAACTGCCCCAACATTCAGCAGCTTAAAACAACAAACATTGGGTGCCTGGGTGGCTCAGTCGTTAAGCGTCTGCCTTAGGCTCAGGTCATGATCCCAGGGTCCTGGGATCGAGCCCCACATCGGGCTCTCTGCTCCACGGGGAAGTCTGCTTCTCCCTCTCCCACTCCCCCTGCTTGTGTTCCCTCTCTCACTGTGTCTCTCTTTGTCAAATAAATAAAATCTTTAAAAAAGAAAAATAAAACAACAAACATTTATTATCTCAGTTTCTGTGGGTGAAGAATCTAGAAATGGCTTAACTGGGTGCCTCTGGCTCAAGGTCTTTCAGGAGGTTGTTCATCAGCACTGTGGTCTCATCTGAAGGTTCAACTGGGACTAGGGGAGGAAATCTGCTTCCAAGCTCACTCACATGGTTATTGGCAGGTCTCCATCCCTCACCATGTGAGCCTCTCCACAAAGCTACCTTATAACTTTACACCTGGCTTTCCCCTGAGCCCAAGATAAAAGGCACAGTCTTTTTACTACCTAATCTTGGAAATGACATCTCATCACTTCTGCCATATTGTTAGAAGCAGATGAATTAAGTCCAGCCCACCCTAAGGGAAGGGATTACACAAGAGTGTGGATAACAGGAGATGGAGATCTTTGGGGACCACACTTAAGTCCAGGTTTTAAAGAAATAAAAAGGGGGCTGTATTGTGGCATCAGATTCAAATGATTTTTTCCTTTTTATGTGAGTAGATATGTTCGTTAAGCATCTGACTCTTGATTTTGACATGGGTCATGATCTCAGTGTTGTGGGATTGAATCCCACCTCGGGCTCTACACTCAGCAGGGAGTCTGCTTGAGATTCTCTCTCTTCCTCTCTCTCTGCCCCTCCCCCTGTATACTCTCTCTCTAAAATAAATAAATAAATCTTAAAAAAAAAAAAGAAAAGAGGGGTGCCTGGGTGGCTCAGTCAGTTAAGCATCTGCCTTCGGCTCGGGTCATGTTCCCAGGGCCCTGGGATTGAGCCCCACATCGGGCTCCCTGCTCAGCGGGGAGTTCTGCTTCTCCCTTTCCCTCTGCCCTTCCCCTGCTCCTGCTCTCTCTCACTCTCTGAATTAAATAAAATCTTAAAAAAAAAAAAAAGAAAAAGAAAAAGAAAGAAATGTCTCCCCTTAGGGAAAAGTCAATTTCTGTCATAAATCAACCTTGGTAAAAATTAATCACATTCATAGGTTTCCTTTACTTTTATTCCAGTTATCAAAAACTTTTAGGAAAAGAATTGAGGATTTCTCCCATATGCCCCCTTACAGATTCCCTACTATGTCAGATAATTACTGCAGTGGACTCTAACAGTTCTAAACACAGTAATGACATTACTAATAATAATAGTGGGAATAACTGGCATTTATCCAGAACCTACTCTCAGCTAATACAAAGTTAAGCTCTGCACTTATGTTATCACATTTAACCATCACAACAATGCCTGTCTGTCTTTTCATTGTACTTTTAACCTCTTCACTTGCTTCTGCATTCATAAATGGCTGTGCATCTGAAAAAGCCAAACATAGGTGAATTTTTCAAATGAAAATTGTAATCAAATATTATTATGGAAAAGAGAAATCCAGCTGTAGGCATCTGATGTCCAGCCATTCCCTGGGTTGTTCTGTGGTTCAGGCCTAGCCCCATCCAGAATGATGCAGGACTCCTTGGACTTATCTCATTATGACCCAACTGAAAAACAGATATGGAGAACTGTATCATGAGATACTACAAGCTATCTCTGTTTTCCCCAAAGCCACCAAGTCTCCATCAATTTAAAGGAAGGAAAATGCAGGCTTGCCATCTACTAGAACCTACTGACCAATGTCTGTGTGGTTTACATCCTGTAGAGTCAGAGCCTTGAGGGAGGGTTACTGAGATAGCTTCGAAGCTTCAAAGATGGATTTTTCTCTTAGGTTTATTGAGGTATAATTTTCACAGCAACCTTCACCATTTTAAGGTATCAGATTTTGGTGGTAGGGAGGGTATCAGATAAAATTTAAATGTGGCAGAACAAGGATAGAGGGGCGCCTGGGTGGCTCCGTCGGTTAAGCGTCTGCCTTCGGCTCAGGTCATGATCCCAGGGGTCCTGGGATCGAGCCCCGCGTGGGGCTCCCAGCTCGGCGGGGAGCCTGCTTCTCCCTCTCCTCCCTGCTCCTGCTCTCTTTCTCTCTCGCTATCTCTGTCTCTTTCTCTCTCTCTCCAATACATAATTAAAATCTTTAAAAAAGAATTTAAAGGTGGCAGAACAAGGATAGAGCTAGAATTCCATCTATGTAAATCAGGAATGAACCCCAAGACTCTGTGTCTCAAAGAAAACAAAGGAACTGGAATGGGACCAGGTGACGTGAGGAAGGAGCTTGTACCACCTTGAGGGCCACCAGCAGGCGTGAACGCAGTATCCCCCAGGTCAAGAGAGCAACTTAAACTCACTCTGAGCAGCTTTAACTTGGATAAACAAAGAGTTCCCAGGGGCTCAGTAACCTTGAGAAATTCACCAAGCCAGTCTTGACATCAGTATGAACAGTTCTCAAGGAACACCTCAAGTGACAGGCCCAAATGGCCTTGGTTTGCCCGACAGGGATGGCCACTTCAGCCCTTTTGCAATGAGCCACAGAGGATAAGGGAACAACAGGCCACTAAAGGTTTTCTTTATGTTCCTCAGCGCCCTGACTAGGTGACCCTGGAGGGCAGGGCCTAGGCTTTATGCCCTTTCTCACTAAGTGTCTGTGGTTGCTGATGCCAACAACAAAAGACCAGATTTTCCAGTCCCTATTCCTTTTACTCAGTGTCTGGACCACGACAAATCTGATCACTTTATCTTTTGCACTAATGACTCTTACCTCAGTTCTGTAATTAGAAATAGCATGGATGTTATTTTACTCTTGAATCTTGCCCTGGCAGCTTCATGCAGGGATCTTTTGGCCCATCCTTAGGCAGTGCACTTTGGACAAATAAGAGAGGCTGTTGATGGGGGCAACATCTTCTGCCCTAGCCAACCTGGCAGCTGCAGGAAGACTTCTCCTGCTGACTGGAGTAGGTTCTATTTTGGAGCATTTATAGGAGCTCTTGTGTTACTGAACCCTACATAGAGATTACAATGGATTTTCTTGGAACGGTCAATGAAGAAAAGATACCACCTGACCATACACGAAGACCACTCTGTGGGGCTTGGTCTGCCAAGAACAGTATGTATTGGTATGAAATTATATGTCGGAGAAGCACTTAAGTCAGACTTGCATGATTAGTTGATCTTGTTCTGCTGCATTGACTGATCAGAAGAAAACCTGCAAAATGCTTAAGTAATCTTCAGCTTTTATTTTATTAGAAAACATCATAAACTCTATCTGGAGCTTTTGTGAGATGCTCAGAAAAGCTTTCAATTTATTTTTTTTTAAAAGCTTTCAACTTCTATGCAAAACAAAATTAATTCACAGACCTATGAAGACAAAGGAGGAGATCCTTTCAGTGATGTCTAAAGAGGGAAAAGGGTTTTAAAATTTATTTCAAATGTTTGTGAATGCAAGAGGGAGGGGGCACTTGACCTCTCTTCTGTGTAACATGTTGAGTAGGCATTTGCTTGGCTTTGAAGGACACCACTAGATTAATCAAACATTATCTCATTTGAATTAAAAAAAAAATACAGAGAGTTGAAATGAAAATGTTGGAAGGTTTTCTCTTTCACCGAACAGCTGGTTTTTATATGCCTTTTCTCGAATGTTGTGAACAGTTTTATTCAAAACAGTCACAACAACAGATGCTTTATAAAAAGGTTTTGCTTAATGGAGCAGCTTCAGGCAATGATCCAGTGCTCTAAGGTGGCATTTTCCTGAAGAAGTTTGTCAATATTTCATTTTCTATACCCAAAGTGTGTTTATAGAGTGTCAAGACAGATTTTTCAATCAAACATACAAGCGGGCAGGTTGTCTCTTTTTTCCCCAAAGCCACCTTCAGGGAGGTCATCTGAAGAGGCTGTTCGCTTTCTTTGCGGCCTCCGCCGCTGTTGGGATGCCCTCTTAGACTCCCTGCACTTGAGAACCCGGGCAGTAGAGACGGTCAGGGGTCACCATTTCCGGTTCTCCTCTCCTCCCTGGGCACAGGGAAGACGACACTAGCCAGACCCTTGGACCTTGAGCAGGGCAAACAAGCGAGTGTAAGTGATGCGCGAGTGGGTCACTTCTGGGCGGAGGCAGTACAAAGCTCCCCGGGGTTGTGTATGCTCTTTTCTCCGCGACAGCGACGGGAAGCCACGAGCTCCAGTGGAGCTGTCAGATGGATGCAGCCTGGCTCTCTGAGTCTCTGCTCCGAAGGGAGGTGCCCGAAGGGAGTGCTGCTGCACGCATAAGGCACTTTGTGCGAGGGAGAGAAGAATTCCCGTCGTTGCAAGCCTCAGAGACTTTGGGATTTGCTTGTTATCATGACGCGGCCTGTTCCGACCACACTAATGCAACAACGTTGGACTCTACACAGCAAAATCAGTTCCACGTTTTCCTTCGCTTAAATGTAGAGTTTCCGTCAAATTTCAAAATACTCATTTGTTAGTTTGGTGTCTGTCATGCTTTGAAAGTCATTACAAATGGATCTTGTTTCGCTATTTAAAACAATGAGGTCGAAAATTAAAAGCTTACCTCCATACTCAAATATTTTGAATTGAGGCAGCCTTGTTCTAGAGCCTTCCGTAGCAGCTACTTGGGAGATTGAGGGTAATTTTACTGCCTATGTTCTGGGGTAATAGTAAAAAGCAGTCATATTACTTCATGTTGTAGTTTTCATATTTGTATATATTTTTAAATTTTGAAAATTCAATCTAAGAATTTAAGACATTCAAGCTCATAGTTCAGTCAAAATATTATCTGGTATCTCTCTTAGAACAAATTAGTAATAATTGCTATCAGTTACTTTATATATGTTATATCTAAACCTCAAAGTTTCCGACTGTGTAAGTCAGGGTTCTCTAGAGAAACAGAACCAACAGGATGTTGAAAGGGTCCAGAATGTACTACGGTAGCATAAAAATTATTTTGGGCTGAAGGCATTTGCGAGTCAACAGATACAGGTTTTGAATTTCCCTTATCTGCCTAGAAGCAGAGACTCCAAAAACTGAACTCATAAATCTTCTCTCTGGGAGTCTTAGAACTGGGAAAGACTGACTCTTAGCACCAGTGACAGAAGTCGGCTCCACACCTAAATAGCCACTGTCACAAAACTCTCGTATCTCCCACCTATTCTCCTAAAAGTCATTTGTTCTCCCATAAGTGCCCTCCCCCCACCCCAGCAATTCTAAGAAATTATTTGTTTTCCTGCAAGTACCCTTCTGCTCCTCCCCTTACCCTATTAAGATGGTCTATAATTCTAACTGATCCCAGTCACATTTTTCTTTTTTTCTTTTTTTTATTTAAAGATTTTATTTATTTGTTTGAGACAGAATGAGAGACAGAGAGCATGAGAGGGAGGAGGGTCAGAGGGAGAAGCAGACTCCCTGCCGAGCAGAGAGCCTGATGCGGGACTCGATCCCGGGACTCCAGGATCATGACCTGAGCCGAAGGCAGTCGCTTAACCAACTGAGCCACCCAGGCGCCCCCCAGTCACATTTTTCTGTGAACTCTTGTATACGTGCATAAATAAAAGCCTGTCTTTTCTCTTACTAATCTGTGTTTTGTCAGTTTAGTTTGCAGGCCTCTAAGAGGGTAGAGGAGAAGTTTTTTCTCCCTGACAATATGTGTGCATGTATATGAGAGAGACATGGAGAGAGAGAGAGGAGGGAAGGAGGGAGGAAGGATGGATGGATTATTTTAAGGAATTGGCTCGCACAATTGTAGAGGTTTGGCAAGTCCAAATCCTGCAAGGTAGGTCATCAAGCTGGAGACCCAGGGAAGAGTTGCAGTTCAAGTCCAAAGGTAGTTTGCCAGCAGAATTTCCTCTTCTCCCAGGGAAGTCAGTCCTTTTCTGTGAAGGCCTTCAACTGACTGGATGAGACCCATCCACATTATGAACAATAATCTCCTTTACTCAAAGGCTACTGATTTATATATTAAGCTTATCTTAAAAATACCTGCACATAAGCATCTAGAATAATTGATCAAATATCTGAGTATGGTGGCCTAGTCAAGTTGTCATCAAATTAATCATCATACCCATAAATCCCCAATTTTAATACATGAGGATATTGAGACTCTGAGAAAGTAATTCAATTGCTTGAGGTAAAATGACATACAGAGCTGGCATGGGAGTCTATGTCTGCGAATCTAAAGCCCTTGGTTTTTTCTCTATATAACACAGTTACCCACTGCCAAGGGCCTTTTTACAGCTCAGCTTTTACTTATTTTGTTTCTTCTAAAATAGCTTGATCTTATTATTCCCTGTAAGCAATAAAACTCGACTTTCTTCAAAAGGAAAATGCCCTGGTACTGATGGGTTTTAAGTTTTAATTGTATTCCTTTTTGAATCATTTATTCACAATTCAAAATTCAAGAGATAATAGGGCTATAGAGTGAAAATCTTCATTTGCCTCCCTGTCACCTGCCCCTAATTTCTTTTTATTAGAGACCACCAATCATATACATTCTTTGTATACTCTGCCCAAAATATTCTATGCAACTATTTGAATTATAGATCACTTTTCTTTTCTCTTCTCTTTTCCCCTTTCCTCTTTCTTTCTATCTTTCTTTCGTTTTTTGATGTATGCTGTTTTGCAACTCACTTTTTTACTTTAAAATATATCTTGGAGATCATTCCACATCAAGTGCTCACAGTGTTTGAAAGTATCAGAAACACTTGACCATATAATATGCAAATAATAATAGGAAAATAATAATACCTAATCCCAAGTCCTCATCATTAATCCAAACCTGTGGACAATGCTGACATTGCTAATTACCTCTGTTACATGGTAGTTTACCTGCTTCCTAAACGTTGCTCTGGTTTCTTAGCCAAGAAGAGTCTGCAAATATCTTTTGCTTCCTCTGTGAAGTTATCATGTTGGAATCTGACCTCTTCTTTCAGGGTTCTTTGCTTTAAATCCTCTTTACTGACTTTTTCCTTGTAATCTTTGAATGGTGTTCGTCCAGCAACCATTTCATAAATACTGCATCCCATTGCAAACCAGTCCACAGGGTAGGAATAACTCACTTTTTCCATTAGGATTTCAGGAGCCATATAACCATTGGTTCCAGCCTGTAACACCCCAAACAAGAAACAAAACAAAACAAAAACACTAATTTGAGTGTAACAGATGCTGCTGATTGCCTATCCAATACCCATTCTCCTTTTCTTTCTTTGTTAAGTGAATCCTAAGTATTTGGGGTGGCAATGTGTCTAACCTATTCTAGTCTCTGCTCTCCTAGCATCCTCTGGGGCCACCTGGGGTAGGCCATGTCATCCATTCTGGCCAAGAGGATTTAGCTGGAGTGCATTATAAAAGGGACAGATGAGGGGTGCCTGGGTGGTTCAGACAACTGACTCTTTTATTTTAAATATTTTTTTCAGTAAAGTAATGCCAACCTATCATCTTTAATGAAATCACGTACTTTGTGTTTTTTTCTTATGGATATAATTTAATATTTTATTTATTTGTTTGTTTATTTTTTATTATGTTATGTTAGTCACCATACGTACATCATTAGTTTTTGATGTAGTATTCCATGATTCATTGTTTGCGTATAACACACAGTGCTCCATGCAATACATGCCCTCCTTAATACCCATCACTGAGACAATTGACTCAATCTCAGCTGAGGTCTTCTCAGGGTCGTGAGTCATGCTGGGCATGGAGTTTAATAAATAAATAAATAAATAAATAAATAAACAAATAAATAAATAAATAAATAAAATAAAGGGACAGATGGGCTGCCCTTGAAATGAGGAAGTCACCTAGCCCTTCATTTCATCATTAAGGTGAAAAGTTCAAGTGGATGTCTCTGTGATTCCCCTAAGCTCTGCCTCTGTATTTTATTCACAGATAATAGAAAATTAGATGCATGGTTTTAAAGGTTGAACACTTTATTGCTAATATTGAATGTTCATATATTATCTGGTCTGTGATTCTTCCTCTATTTGCTATATAATGATATTAATATCACACATCTCTGCCTATCCCTGCATTGAAAAACTAGCACAGTCATTTTAATCTAAAAAATTCCACACATGAAAATTCATTTAACATGCATGACTATATTTTGTAGGCACATTTCTACTGACAGTACATGCCAAATGACCATTGAGTTAAAAAATATATATTTATACATATAACTTAAAATTTACCATCTTAATAATTTTTAAATGTACAGTTCAAGAGTATTAAGTACATTCACATTGTTGTGCAACCATAATCACTTTCCATCTCGCAAAACTGAAACTCTATACTCATTAAACTACAACTCCCCATTGCCCCCACTCCCTAGGTCCTGGCAACCACCATTCTACTTTCTGTCTCTACTAATCTGACTACTCTAGGTACCTCGTGTATGGGGAATCATGCAGTTATTGTCTTTTTGTCAATGTGTTATTTTAATACATTCATTAATTTGACAAATTTTTGAAAATTTTTTTTTTTTTAGACTTTATTTATTTATTTGACAGAGAGAGACACAGGGAGAGAGGGAACACAAGCAGGGGGAGTGGGAGAGGGAGAAGCAGGCTTCCCGCGGAGCAGGGAGCCCGATGCGGGGCTCAATCCCAGGACCCTGGGATCATGACCTGAGCCGAAGGCAGACGCTTAACGACTGAGCCACCCAGGCGCCCCGAAAATATTTTATTTACTTATTTGAGAGAGAATGAGAGTATGTGTGTGCACAAGGGGAGGGGCAGAGGGAGAGGGTTGGGGAGGGAAGAATCTTAAGCCGACTCCAAGCCAAGCACAGAGCACCACATGGGGCTCGATCCTATAACCCTGAGATCACGACCTGAGCCAAAACCAAGAGTTGGACACTTAACTGACTGAGCAACCAGGTACCCCCAATAAATATTTAATGAATATCTATAACATACCTTGTAATTATAAAATATACATATATATACATACACACACACACACAAACACATTGTTTTCCAAAAACTAACTTGTTTTTGGTTAAAGTATAATGTATAACCTCTGCAGCAATTAAAAATTCAAAGAACACCTGGGGCGCCTGGGTGGCTCAGTTGGCTAATTGTCTGCCTTTGGCTCAGGTCATGATACTGGGGTCCTGGAATTGAGCCCCATGGCAGGCTCCCTGCTCAGCGGGGAGTCTGCTTCTCCCTCTGCCCCTCACCTGGTTCGTGCTTTCTCTCTCTTGCTCTCTCTCTCTCAAATAAATAAATAAATAAATAAGATCTTTAAGGAAAAAAAAGGAAAAATTCAAAGAACACCCTAAAATGACAATAGGCTTCTATTAGTACATAAAAATGATCATATAAATTACTGGCAGAGTTGTGAAAAACAGATGTGCTCTGTAAATTGACCCAGACTTTTAGGAGAGCAGTAAGATAGAGTCACAGAAAATAATATGTACCAACTGTTCCTCTCCTTCAATCAGTTTACTTCATCTTGGAGTATATACCTCCAAGAAATGACTCAGAAGAAAGAAAAAGGAATCTACATAGAGATGTTCATAGCTCCATTATTTATAATGGTCACAAGCTGGAAACCTCCAAAAGCCCGTCAATAAAGACAACAGACTAGAGTCTATTGTTAATACTATATATTGTTAATATATATATATGGATATATATACATATATATATATAGTGGATTTCACACACGGATTACAAATATGCATTCCAGTACATCAAAAAAGGCTGGAAAGTGTTTTTAGTTTTTTATCAGGTGATTTTTTTCTAATTGCTTAAGTATATATTTTTACATGCACTATATATATAATGCCCTAGGAATATTAAATTTCATGGATAATTTCTACATGGGTAACAACAATGAAAAGCATATATGACCCAAGCACTAATGAGAAGTAATTGGCCTGTCTGGAAGTGACTGGGTCTGACAGGCCGGGCATGAGTCAGCCTGGTACTGCTGTTTTCATAGAAGCTGATATATAATTTGGGTGACCATATGTTCCGGTTTGCCCAGCACAGTCCCAGTTTACATTTGTTGTCCTGGCATCTTGTCTAGTTTTGCATTTGTCCAGACAGAAGGGTCCTGTAGGTTCCCCTGAGGCCCAGGATGTAGTCTTACTCGACTTTGTATCCAAACTAGGAACTTACTATGGGGCCTCACGCGCTGCATACCCAACAAAATGTTTGTTAAATAAACAACAGTAAAGATGGTAACTAGATGTTTTCCATTCACTATGCAACCAATACTGAACCATGCCCTGCAGTGAGTTCTACGGATACCAAGACATATGATACCTGGCCGTTGCCCTTCAGGATTTACAGGCTGATGGAGACAGGTCAAAAGGTTAATTAAATAGAGTACAGTAAATGCTGTAATGGGAGTATAAAAAAAGCACAGGGAGGTGAGAGGGTATGTATATGTGTGTGTGTGTTGGGGATACTTCACTGAAGAGTGATAGCTGAGCTGAATCATGAGGGAAGAATCTGTCCCCCTGAGCAGGCTAGCCAGCAAACGAGCACGTGCAAGAGATGGAGCCAGAAATAATGCGGGGTGTTCAGGGAGCTTTAAGGAATTTGGCATTTCTGGAACACAAGATCTGTGGGATGTAATGGTGGGAGGGGAGACTAGAGGAAGAGATGTGGATGAGACTGAGAAACACTGTATGCCAAAATAGCAAAAATTCATTCCCAGTCCCCCTTTTCCCTTGTATCCCTCTACCAGAGAGGTCAGAAGGCTGAGCACTCCATCTCTCAGCTTCCTTTGTACCTAAGGCGACCATGTGATATGAGCTTTATTTGAGAGGTGTGCAAGGCAAAGGTGCTGAGGGTTGTGGAAAAAGGGGAGTAAGCCTACTTAGAAATACCTCAAAGATATAAGACAAATTAATGGATCAATAGAGGGATGGATAGATGGAGAGACATGTGATAAAGTGAATCTAATAAAATATTAATGATATACAATGGAATATTGTTTGGCCATAAAAAGGAATGTATTAATTACATGCTACAACACGGATGAACCCTGAAAACATTATGCTAAGTGAAAGAAGCCAAATACAAAAGGCCACATATTGTGTTTCCATTTATATAAAATGTCCAAAATAGGCAATTCCACAGAGCCAGAAAGTGGATTAGTGGTTGCTTAGGGTTGGGACAGGGGGAATGGGAGTGACTGCTAAAGGGCAGGGGGTTTCTTTTTGGGGTGAAGAAAAGATTCTAAAATTGTGATAATGTTTGCATTGCTCTATGAATATACTAAAACCCACTGAATTGTATACTTTAAATGGGTCAATTTTACGGTATTTAAATTATATCTCAATAAAGCTGTTCAAAATGTTCATGGTAAACAGGTAGGTAATGGGGCGCCTGGGTGGCTCAGTTGGTTAAACGACTGCCTTCAGCTCAGGTCATGATCCTGGAGTCCCGGGATCGAGTCCCACATCGGGCTCCCCGCTCAGCGGGGGGTCTGCTTCTCCCTCTGATCCCCTTCCCTCTCGTGCTCTCTGTCTCTCATTCTCCCTCTCTCAAATAAATAAATAAAATCTTTAAAAAACAAAACAAAACAAAAACAAAAACAAAAAACAGGTAGGTAATGGGTATACAGGTGCTTGCTGTGAAATTCTTTCAACTTTCCTGTATGTTTGAAAGTTTTTATAATAGAATGCAGAGGGAAGGGGGCCCTTGGGTGGCTCAGCGGGTTAAGCGTCTGCCTTTGGCTCAGGTCATGATCCCGGGGTCCTGGGATCCAGCTCTGTGTTGTGGGCTCCCTGCTCATTGGGGAGTCTGCTTTTCCCTCTCCTGTTACCCCTCCCTCCCGCTCGTGCTCTCACTCTCTCTCTCGAATAAATAAATAAAATCTTAAAAAAAAAAAGAATGCGGAGGGGAAAAGGAGTGAGAGAAGGGGATGCAATACGTAGCTGCTGGTCCATCAGGCACAATAGAATCTTCTACAAGGGTCATAAAGAGGAACTACAGGGGAGAGTGAAGAAGAGGGAATCCATCTACCCAGCTCCCTCCCATCTCCTATTTCCATTTGTCAAGCATTACCCAAAAGCTAACTTGTCTGTATTTCTAGATGTTGTCCAGACCTTCAGCAGCTTGCTAGAAACCAGGATTCACATTGCAGT